GCATCTCAATGTCAACACCAGCCTTTATTGATGGTGCGGTAGCATATGTGCCTGTCCAATCTGAGATGATGGTCCCATCCCAATTCCACTCGCCGCGGAGAATATTCTTGATTGAATATTCGTACTCATCGGCATGAATCCCATTAACCATGTTGTATGCACTCATCAGCGCCCAGGGTGACGCATCGCGCACGGCAATCTCAAATGGCTTTAAGTAAATTTCACGGAGCGGCCTCTCAGCGATGATAGCATCATACGCTTGTCTTTCTGTCTCTTGCTCATTTCCAAGAAAGTGCTTGATCGTCGCGGCAACGCCTTTGCTTTGGAGGCCACGAATATACGAAGCAGCTAGCTTGCCTGTGAGAAATGGATCCTCGGAGTATGATTCGAAGTTACGTCCTCCAAGAGGGGAGCGATGCATGCCTACAGTGGGAGCGAGAAGTACATTGGCACCGCGAGCCTTCGCCTCTTCTCCGAGATGGCGACCGATCTCTTCGACCATGTCTGTGTTCCAGGTTGCCGCCATTGAGATGCCACATGGGAACAATGCAGCCTTTGCTGTCAGCTTTCGACTTGATGAACAGAGCATATAAACTGACAGGTGTACCGTTGGTGAAAAACTCTCCCCGGGCGCCGTTGGGACCATCTGATGTTTTGATTGACGGGATACCTTTCTCGGGAATGGCTACAGTCCGCCAAAAGTCCGCACCTGCAAGCAGTGAGATCTGATAGAGTCAGCTTACGCGATTAAAATGCAATAGCATATTGAGACAAGTGGAGCACTGTCGTTCGATGGACTACCTGCACCCGATCAAGACATTAGGAAAACATGATGTGCAGTTGTTCTGCGGAATTTGATAGTCTTAGTGGATATTATTTTGGCCAGTCGCTCATCCAGCAGAATCATCCCCGCTCGGGACTGATATCAAGGTCGGACCAGACAGCATCTATGACCTCCGATTGCAAAACACATGATTGGGAAAGTGAAATCATGGGCAAATTTTTGTTATTCGGAAAGACCGGAAAATGCATACCTGTTCGTCCAAGGTCAGCTTGGCTGCCAAGTCTCTTGCCTTGTCGCATGGGCGTTCTAGTGAGAACATGTTCTTTCCAGCGATTGCGTGTTCCTCTGCAGGTGAGATTGGCTCAGGTGTAGCTATGGGCGTCAAGGATGGAGTGTCCAGTGCCACTGGGCGGATATGGATTGCCGCATTCTTTAAGTCGATGTGCTTGACATCTTCCGTAGGGCTGGCATTGCCCAGGTGGATGGTGGCCATTGTAGATCAGGCCGTATTAGCCCAGACAGACGGACGGGGATTGTTAAACGAGACGTTGCGCTACTCGCCACTACAGCCTGTGCAGGGGCGATTGTTTCGACTTGGAAGGGGAGATGCAAGGTGAACGAGAGTGAGGACAAAATGTCAAGGTGTGTCAAACGTTTCTCAGTGAAAGTCCGCGGTATATGGCCATCTTTTAGTACTTGAGCGACATTGAGATAGGATAATCAATCTCAGCAGAGGCCATTTGCTGCGTGGACCTAAGAGACTACGCTCGCTCGAATATCCGGATGTATTTGGAACAAGCCTTGTAGCTAGCGATGGCCGGCAGGTAGGCTGAGATCTGCAACGGGGGTACTATTGGCTGATGGAACAGCAATAAACCGAAGTTGAGGCGGATCTATCTTGATCTGGTACTTAGAGAGGCTCTTATAACGGTCCAATCTCTATCTAGATCATGGTAAAGGCTTGATTCTGGCGAAAGCTAGAGTACAACGGGAGTAAACCGTTTCGACGGCGTTGCCCCCAACATTGCTGCATGCAAGATTGACATACTGAAGCTTCTGCCGCCTAGGAGTTGTAGAATACCATTCGCGTTCTGGACACTTGGGCTCAAAGACGCGGGTCTCGAGCCATACCCTGGCTCGGTCTGCTAAGCACAAAAGACTTTCAATTCGACGCCTTGAAGTTCCTAACTGAGAGAGGATGGCGGACCTGAAGCCCCGAAACGCAGATTAGGCAGTCAGAGTATGGGGCACGGTATGAGCGATACCAGTCAGTGGTGGATTAATGTTGAGAGGTTGGATTAGCGGAGTTGGCGTCCTGGATGCCGGAATTGTCGGGAAGGAGGCCCGGGCGACCGTTGACAAGTCTCCGCATCTGTAGACCGGCCCGATATGCGAGTGTTGATTGTCCAATGGGTCATTGTACAAGTTCATATATATCACGACATCCTTCCTCAACATCATGTGCAGGACATGGTTTTGATGGTGATAAAGGACGAGTAAATGATCTTGTACCGGGTTACCCTACACGTCTGCACGCCTGCTACCGTACATTTACCACTTGATATACGTGCCGCAACCTGTACCTCTTGATTACCGGTAGCGGGTAGAGGGCTCTCAGGTATTTCTCCGTTATCAGCATCATGTGTCTGGAGTTGATTGCAGTTGATATCACAGAAATCACTATGTTTCGTCGCTTCCAACCTTGCGGGAGCTCACATTCTGCCTGCTACCGAAAGTTCGCAAGTACCACCAGCCGATGTGACAGTCTACAGCTACCGAAAGCAATTTGACTGGTTCTAAGATACTGCATGGAAATTGATGAAACAATTTCTCTATCAAGGTGTCCTATGATAGCAACCAAGTCACCTGTGTACAGTACAACCGAACATGTACCATACAAGGCGAGGCACCTGGAAGAAGCCACTGCGGGCCGCCTTGCCATGCCATTCTTGACTCAAAATCTCATTGTCAGCAGGACATTCCCGCCCACGCCCACGTGAGGACTCGTGGACTGCAACTGATCCCGCCTACAAGCATCGTTCAAGAACCGCCAGCTTGACATCATCTACTATGTAGGTAGATTGTAAGTACATTCCAAGATGTGCTCATAGTACATCAGCTGGCCGACATAGCCTTGCCTATAAGAACTTGGATGATTGTTGTTTGGCAATCTGCAGAGGTCCTTAGTGTTTTCCTTGAGCGCTGGCTACGAGGAAATCTGCAATGAGCACACACAATTATGCGTCCAGATTAAATTGCTGGTTAAGAATATGCGCCTGTCGCACTATAATTAATGATCGACGACAGCATTATGATGAATACAGTAGTAGTCCATGCACAAAACAAATCCGCGAACATACCCGCTTCCTTCAAGAACCACATGAAACACAGCCAAGACAGAAAGGCCGGCAGAATGAGATGAAAAAACAATATCTTTACGTTATTGGAGTAAACTTCTATCTCGCACTTCCCCTCCCTCCCGCTCCCCACCGTCCATTCTTGCCTCAAATCCCCCAACGCTACACAAACTCCGCACTCCACACCATCATGGTCCTACCCCTCTCTCAACCTCCAAGCTACTCTTCCCCATAAGAAAAAGCAAAGAAAAGAAAGAGGACAAATCTACCAATCATCCTCCGACTTTTTGCCATGCATAGCCGCCTGTCTCTGCCTCAAAGCCTCCGCCAAACCCCCCGCAATACTTCCCCCACTATCTCTCGGCCCAGCTTCTACCGTGCTGCCCCCACTTCCGCTGTATCCGCTATCCCTCGCACTATCCCCATTGACAGCAGATACAGGTTTTCGCGCTGCGGGACGTTTGCCTGGCGGCGCAGGGGGCTTTGGTTTGCCGTTTGCCGGACGGGCAGGGGGGGGTGGCGGAGGCGCAGGAGCACGAACAATGACTTCCTCAAGATAAGCAGAAGGTGCCCAACCAGACGCAGATTTATCGAGGCGGGATGCTAGCCACCAGCCTGGAAGGTTGTGTTAGTATCGTACTTTGATACGAGCACATGATTCTACCCGAGAAGGGAAAGGTGATAGGTGGGGAGAAACGTACCATTGTCTTCCTTTTGCGTGACCAGGATAATCTCATCCTTACCCAAACTCAATTCTCCAGCCGACTGTCCCGCAAAATCATACAACGCCTTGTACCTTGGCTCCTTTGGTTGGGCAGGGGGAGCTGCGGGTGCAACAGGCGGAGGAGGCGGCGGCGGAACCCGGTTCGACGCTGCCGACGAGTTGCGGTCGTGACCATTTGACAGCGCTGCAACGGGCTGAGGCACAACACGTGGTTGTGATACAGCAGGCTGCGGTACAGTAGCAGGCTGAGGCACAGGTTTCGGTTGCGCTGGGCGACTAGCCAGCTTGGACGGTCCGCCGCCGGGACCACCGGGCCGTAGGAGTTTGCCCTTTGTGATCGGTTTGGCGGCCACTTGTTTGCCTTTGGGCGTGGGCTTGGATATCGAGTTCGGTGGTTCGCCGGGGCCGGTGTGTACGGTACCGCTCTTGTAGAGGTCGTCTCGTGGTATCGCAGGATCCTTGACTACCTTAACGTTGGCTAGTTTGCCAGGCTTCTTGTTGTACTCGATGCTGTGGTAGGTTAGTCATGTCTCAGATTGATAGGGAGGGCATTTCTTACGTATCACCAATCCTCAGGTTCAGAGATCCCCGTAGTACATTGGTCAGATGTGTGAAGAACTCCGTCTTGAAGACGCAGTTCACCAGTGGATCCGGTTCTGAAGGCGATCCAGCACCAATTGCAAACCAGTCATCCTTCAACGTAGAACAGCTGATGAACTTGATGGCTCCCACAGGTATGGTTCGATCCGCTTGGATTTGGACCTGTCTGTTGACCATTACCTGCTTGACCAAGTAGACATTTTTCTTCGTAAGAATGAGCATCCGTGGCTCTGGCTTACTTGATCTGCCAAGCTTCGAGACCAGCATCTCTGCTCGACATGAGAAGGGTACCTCCTCATTCGATATTCCGATGGCTTGTGCAATCATCTCGCCTGGTCCCCCTCTATTACCGATACCAAGGTAGTCTCCCATGAATCTTCGGTACCCAACCAGACTGTATCTTCTTCTCTCCTTTCGGCCTTGAAGAACCTTGTGACCTTGATCACGCAGCTCAATGAACTCCTTGCCGCCATTGAGCTTTCTCCAGAATCGTTGAATGCGCGTCGCACACTCAATGCGGTACCGTAGGTAGTTCCTCCAGGCGCGTTGAATGCGAATGGCCATGTTGTGCCAGTACTTGTCGCGCATTGTCTCCAGCGCAAAGAGCGTCTCAGGTGTCTTAATAAACACCTTGGTCACGCCCATTTGGAACTCTTCAATTGGGATATTGGTGTCCTTTAGAATTGTCTTGGCTCCAGACTCGTAGTCTCCAGTCCAGGTGTACTCGCCCGCATACGAGCACTTGGGCGACAACAGGAAAAATCGCTCCACAAATTTATCGAAGGTTTGACGGGATGCAAAACCGGCTCGTCGAATACGTACGTTCTCCTGTAGACCAAGATACTTGATCTGGTGAAGAACATTCGCCTCATTGTACTCCTTTGGCGACTTGTTCTCGTTTGGCTTGATGGTTCGAATATACGATGGTTTGGCTTGCATGAGGGTTGTGACTAGGTCGTTCGCCGAGGCCTTGATCTTATCACCGGCCGTTGGTGGTCGTCGCCTGTTGTCCTGATCGACTTGATTCGGGAAGAGAGTGTGGACGAAAGTGTTGCCACTTTGGCCCAGCAGGTTCAACAAATCCTTCAACAACTGATCCTTGTTTTTGTCTGTCATGCCATCGATTGCGTACGACACATCACCAGCGTAATGTTTGATAACGAACTGACCCTGGCGAGGTTGGAAGTTCGGATTGCCGGAAAGTGCGTTCAATCTTTGCACGAATGTCTGATCAGCTGCCGTCGGATCCGCGTGTGCTGTCGCGCAAGCATCGTTCAAGGCTGCGAAGACGCCCGGTGGTCTCTTCTCTTCAATCAATTCGCACACGACTTTGTTGTCGAAATACTTGATTGGGGTCCACTTGATCTGTTCTCGCTCATACTCTTCTTGTTCCGCCTTCAGCGTCAATTGGATGAAAATCTGTTGAAGTTTTTCATTGACGTAATTAATACACAGCTGCTCGAAGCTGTTCCGCTCGAAAATCTCGAAGCCGTAAATATCCAAAATTCCGATAGAATGAGCTGTTTCGCTTCGTGCTTTCAGGGACAGGTTGACGCGCTCCACGATCCAGTCAAACAGGTTGAAGTAGATTGCTTTAGATAGCGCATCTCGTACTGACATCGCCTGGGCGCAGTTCAAAGGCACATCGTATACGGATCCTCGGCGTCCTCCGCGGCTAGTCTCCATAACTCGGATCGTAAGAGCTTTGTTGACATGCGCCGCATCCACTTCCAAAAGGTATGCGACAAAATCGACCACTGACTGGTCGACAATGGAGGCATTTCCTGAGTCGTCTTCTCGAAAGGAGACATTTCCCAGCCACAATATCGCCGCAAGCATACGGAATATATTATCCTGCTCAGCTTGCTGGAGACCAATAACCTTCATGGCGTTCAGGGTGTCATCGAACTCTGCGTGGTCGTTGATTCCGTCAACGTCGAAACACTTTGATCGGCTGGTGTATAGGTAGGCATTCGGTTGTTGCAGACCGAATATTTCTATCACTGTTAGCCTCCATTACGCTAATTCTGACGTGCTTCATCATACCCCGATACTGTGGTGACGCTGCTTTTGTGAACTGGTAGAAAATGTGGAAATTTCGCTCATTCACAATCTGGCCCACCACTCGCGATTTCTCTAGTAGGTAATTATTAATGTTTGCTCCCACAGGCTCTCCCTGTGAATTGAAATGGATCTCGAGATATTTTCCGAATCGCGAGGAGTTGTTGTTTCGCAACGTCTTTGCGTTTCCAAAAGATTCGAGCAGAGGATTCGTGGCCAGCACCATGTCCTTGATCTCCTGAATCGACGAATTGGACCCGCTTGATACGTTTGCAATGTACTGCATGATCCGTTTTGCGGCTTCAGTTTTTCCTGCTCCAGATTCTCCCGAGATGATGACACATTGGTTCTCCTTGTATGCGTTCATGTTGTAGTATGTTGACTCGGCGATTGCGAAAACATGGGGCGGCACCTGTTGATGTCAGTTTTAGTTACTGCAGTACGGCTGTGCGACTCACTTCCAGCCTATTCTTGCCCTTGTAGCTGTCCAGGACTTGGTCTGTGTATATGCCCACTGCGCCACATTAGTCTCTGCCCATAGAGCTCCTAGGTAGCCACATACAGTCGCGGAACGGGTTGACCGATACCAACACATGCCCAATGTATGTCTATACCTCCGTCAGTTGCTGTTTTTGTATGTCTCGTCGCCATGGTGCCATAGTGGTGTCGCGCGGGGCTGGCGCAAGCGGGTCGACGCACGTAAATTTCGCCATTCTCGAACCGTTTTTTCAGATTCTCGTTGATGGCCTCGTTTGAGACCTTACTGATCAGTGTCAGATCTGACACGCCCACCTCCTTCTTCTTCGTGGTCTCGAAGACGGCCTTCTTCGCGAACTGCGAGGTGGGCTGTCCTCTGCCGGCCGCCGTCTCCTTCTTGCGCCCTGCGCGTTTTGTAACCGCCTATATGAGCAGCGTGTCAGCGCACATGTTTCCTGCGTATACCGTGATTTTGGGTAGAATACCATGGTTGATGCCCGATAGCGAGCTTAGACCAAGTGTTTGTGTGGTTTGGCGGGGTGCTGTGTGTTGCTGCAATGAATAGGGAGGCAGTATATAGTATAGGGACGTGCAAGCAGCGAGTGAAGGTGTATCCGTGTCAAGTGAGGGTCGGTACCTCAATGCTGGGGGGGGGAGGTGAATGTGAGATCTGCGGGCAGCGGCCTGGAGTCTCGAAGATAGCCCAGCAGCGTCATGTCACAGTGAGCCCTGGATCCTGGGCGGACAAGCCGGAGCTAAAGCACAGCCACAGACGCGCGTGCTCAATCAGCAAAGCCGTCCTACCTACCTACCAACTTACAAAAGCCGCCAGACCTGCTCGCCACGCATACAGTTGGCCCATTACGTGTCGCACAATCAGCCATCAGGTAACCGACAGGCAGGCAACCAGAACATGCGAGTCGCAATCACTTCATCATGGATTCCACTAGGTACTTAACGCCACGCATCCGTCGTGAAAGAGTGTTTGAGAAACCGCGAGCAAGCAATGGTTCGCGATCCAACATTGCTGTAGAGAGAAAAGAGACGCCCTGCAAATGCGTATGCCCAAGTAGTAATGACCCAAAAATCCCGAACGCCGCCGCTTTGCCTTGACTGAAGAAAATTCGTTATCATGCAAAAACATCACCACCAAAACGCCCAACACTCGCCCAGTCCAACCGCTTAGTCTCCTCCAACTGGGGGCCGCTCCACGAATACACCTTTGGGTCTACAAGGCAGCCCAGTCCGCCCTGCTCGGTCCACTCCCTCACCACTCTATAGATGAACTCGATTTTTGCACGGAGGAGGTTGCTCTCCGTGAGCTCCTTGTATGTGTCTTGCTTGTCTGCGGAGCCGTAGAGCAATTGTTGAAGAGATCCTCGCAGATTCGCGCGTGCCTTTACGTGCCTCCATGGCACATTGCCGGTCTCCTCAAGGAGACATGTCGCATCCAGGGGCAGACACATGAAATGTCCATAGCCAGCGTCCGATGACAAGACGAGCTTGGTGTGGTCAGGGAAGTTGAACTGTACACTGTTAGAAACGAGCGTAAGTATTGAGACATGGGAATGTCTTACCTGGAATGCGCCGTCATCGAAGCCCCAGACGCCAACGTTTCCCAGTCTTTGGTAAAACTTGACGAAGTTCACACGAGGGTCCTTCCTCATCGGCTTCTCCTCGTCACCAAACGTGGCGCACATGTATTTGCCAAACTTGTGCCACACTGTCCGGATCTCCTCCACTCGTCGCTTGTCCAGGACCTCGATTGGCGAAAGCCCTCGGTCGCTTCTAACATGGGTGTAGTAGTTGAGTGCCACGCTTTTTGCAAGCTCTCGATTGTTTCCTGCCTTGCGCAGATGACTATAGCCATCTGTAGCAAAGGCGATTGTCACTGGGTAATTCTCTTCCGCTGACAGTAGCGTACCGATACTGCCATCATCGAGGACATAGCCTACACCATACCTACGAGAGTAGTCCACCCATTTAGCAACAAAGGGTAACTGAGGAGGCTGATCCCGCCTTGACTTTGTAGGCTTCCTGTTCAATGCCCGGGCGAGGTTATCTCGGAAAACCATTAGACGCGCTAGAACTGACATAGGATCACTGAAAGCCATCTCGTTGGCTATCGTACGGTATCGAGGGGTCTCTCGATCTGTGGGCGTGTGGCTCCTCGGCTCTGACTTCTCGACTGCTGGCACAGTGGCTTTGGCCACCCTCAGTGGAGGTAGATCTGGCAGTCCGGTTGCCGTCACTCTGGGAGCGTCTTTGATAGGCTCTTTCACTGTTCTAGCTCGTGCCGTCGTTCGAGCTTCTCGCGGTGCGCGTGTTGGCGCAGGTGCCGAGGCCATTGCCGTCTCCGTCGCTGCCGCTGCCAGCGCTGTAACTCTGGTTGGATTCGAGATTTTCCGCACTGCCCTTAGACGGGTCGGCTTCTTGTCCAAGATCCTAGGTGCCGGTTCGGGCTCTTGCACCGGAGCTGGCGCTGGAACGGGAGTTGGAGCCGGTTCCACATTTTCCTTGAGTTGAGGTAAAGGCTCTTCTTTCCTAGCGACTCGCGGTAGACGTCCCTTTGCTCGGTCGTTTCCCGTGGTTTCAACCAGGGCTGTACCTTCGACGGATGATTCCTTTTCTTCAGAAATCTCGCTCAATCCACCCGGTGCTTGATGAGGCCAGTGAACGCGCGCAGGGAAGGGCACGTATACAACGTCTGGTGCAAAAGGTATATTCGGTTGTTTGCCCGCCTCAATCTCTTTTTGGCAATCGCGGGCCACTGTCTTGTTCCTTCGACTACCGTACGTTCCGAAAAACTTGTTTTTTTCGTACTCGCCCACGGCAGAGGATTTGCAAAGCTGCCACCACTCCTCTGTGTATCCTCGCCTTTTCGTTGCAGCTGTCAGTGGACGGTTCTGGGGCCATTTGGGTACTCGAGAGGTGCATCCGCTATCGAGCTGTAGTGGTATGTAGCCGAGTTTGAAGAAGTCATGGGCTACAATCTGATCAGGCGTTGGTCGTTCGTCCTCGTGCACTAAAAGCAATGATACTATATCGCGGAGGTCGTCGGTAATTTCATTGGCAAACTTGGAAAGGTCGGGCCAGTTGTATTCACGGGCTTTGAGTTTCCGGTAGATGTCTTCGCGCTTTGCTGCATGGAATGGCGCGCGACCGACAGCGAGTGTGTACCTGTTTGTGTCAACCAAACGCTCCCCTATGCCGTGCAAATGCTCTTCTCACATCATAATACCAATCGCCCACAGATCAACCTTTTCGTCGTGGCCTTTGCCAGTCTTCTCCAAGACTTCGGGCGCAAGGTAGTTTGGTGTGCCGCACATGGTCGTTCGCCGGATCGCCCCATAGTCGCCCGGTGATAATAGTAGTGCGGCAAGACCGAAGTCGCCAACCTTGACATTCATATTGTGGTCCAGAAAGAGGTTACCCGTCTTCAAATCTCGGTGGACAATGTTGCGCTGGTGGAGGTATTTGATAGCGCCGCAGGTCTGGATCATGAACCGTCGAATCTCGGGCATGGTGAAGTATTTGCGCTTCTTGATGGCATCGGCCAGAGAGCCGTTCTCGCATAGCTCCAGAACAACATATGTACTGGTTTCGAAGGAGAAGGCGCGGTAGAACTCGACAATGTTGGGATGGGACAGCTTCGAGTGGATCTGCAATTCCGTCACAAACTGCAGCGCGTCAGTAAGAGTGTAGACAGCACAGCCTGGGTCGCGGCGCGCTGAACCTTTTGCGCCAGCTTGGGAGGCTCCATCCGCGACTTGACGATCTTCAGAGCGACGGTACTGCTGCCCAGGTGTTCATGGCCCAGCAGCTTCGCGCGATGGCAGATGGCGAAGCCGCCTTTGCCCAGCTGGGGGCCCGTCTCATACTGCAAGCCCTCGGGGTCGCTGACCACAGCCGGTGGGGGTTCTGCGTGAATCGAGGGGGCAGACATTGGGGCGGGTGGAGTTGGCGGGATGCGTGAGCGCTGGTTAGTGAGCGCTGGAGGTCCGGCTCGGGTGTTGACAAACAAGGTACGCTACCTCCAAGTACCGGTAGGCCTTGTTGCCAGGTGACAGGGCTTACGTGACACGCTCCCCTTTCCCCCCCCCGGGCCCCGTGCACTCGATCCGCAGGTGGGGATTTGTCGGAAGCGAGTCGCTACGCTACCACCGCCAACTGACTGTGAGCTTCTGCGTTCCCCGGTGAGATTGTCTTGTCGTGGATAGACTGGGACTTGGACTTGGGGACTCTGTATGTTTCTGGCTACCCCAGTTGACCGCTGTTTGGATGGATCGTGTCGCGCTTGTTGACATTCTGCTCAAAGCGGACTAGGCGCGACCGACGTCGGTCATCCCTGTCCAGAACCTCCGAGCCACTCCACTGTGAGCGAAGAGCGAGCGAGCAGCCCAAGGCAGCCTCAAAACCAACACTGCCATGCCCACTGTCCTTCTGTGGCTTGGCTTCTGCAGACTATCTCAAAGTCTCTCGAGACGAGTATGATTGTGTGATACGCTATTTGCGATGAGAGACAATCGCACTGTTCAATTGCACCCATTTCTTGTCTTGGAACAGCAACGCTCCCATAGAACAGCATAGCACACCATGTCTCTCACCCTCAAGGTGACCTCGCTGTTCGTGAGGACATTGGCAAAGCCCATGGCGGTACGTGCATGCACTTTCTCCTTCCTCCATGCTTACTCACAAGCAAAGTAGAACACCATCAAACGCAACGCCCACGAGCACGAGCGCTTCCGAAGAATATGCGTCTCGTTCGCCCAGGGCTTGCATCGCATTGACATGCGCATGCGTCTCGGCCTTCTCCAGGACCCTGCAGTCATTGATCGCCAAATCAAGAAGGAGGTCGCTGCGGCCGAAGCCGCAAGAAAGAAAGCAGCGGCGCCAACAGTCTTGACGGAGGAGGAGACGCGTGCGGAAGAAGCCCTTACAGAGAAGGAGCGGGAAGCAATCAAAAAGAAAGCAGAAGAGAGGATCAAGCCACGCATTCGGCCACTGTCAGAACAAAAGGCAATTGAGATGGGCGCAAACTTCGCATCTGAAACCTTCATCTTCATGGTTGGCATTGGTGTGATCCTGTTCGAAAACTGGCGGCAGAGAAGGAAGGCGCGGAATGCAAGAGATGATATACGAGAGGACTTGGAGGAATTGCAAAACGAATTGAAGGCTGTCAAGGCAGAGTTGGAGGAGCTGAAAGCGAAACACCCCGAGCCTACAGCGTCCAAGCTGCTAGGTTTTTTTAAGGGCAGCAGCAAGAATGACGAAAAGAAGGCCGAAACAACGAATGGACCTGCTCCTGCAGTTCTGTCAACAGCGCCAGAGCAGAAATCGGCGCTTATGCTACAACCTCCATCGGAACCTTCACCGCAGAATCGAGCACAATAAGTGCCATGTGTCTGGCAAATTCGGTAATCATTTCGCCCATTGTATATTGACGCGCAAAGTCTCTTTTGGTTGCACAGTCCGATCTCCCATCTTGTATAAATTCTCCGCTCAAGATACCCATTTCACAATGTAACTTTGACCTACCAAGCAAGACGAGTCCTTTCAGCGCACGCACAGCTCGATCGCAGTAGCGGGACTGCAGTAAAAAGAACACTGCTCTAAACACGCCTACACGTTGTTCGAGATTGCTAGATAACCTTGGACGCGAGTGAGGCTTTGTTGGGTCTACTGATCTATGGATGCCGATACAGCCGGCCGTCCCTTCCTCGACCGTGACACGATTATGTGTACCTAACCGCCCCATCTCACTTCTACCTTGCTACTCGCCTCATATCACAAACACCATCCATCTTCCAATCGGTTTCATCTGCCCGTCTGACGATTTTGCCCTGCGACTCAAGCTATTCCAGCACGCTACTGATCCGTATGTGTGTCATGTCCTCAACACCATCACAAACAGATGATGATCATGTAATGACTTATCATAGTGGCATTGAAAAGAGATGGTATAAGTCATCTGAGGCCAAGTGAACTCAGGTACTCATACACGACAAGTCGGATACCGATCTCTCATGGGCTTCGCAGTCCAGCACAGCGTAATGCGGTGGAACAAGATCGACGTAAAACAGTCTTCCTCGCACCCAAATGCGTTGACCTCCACACCTCAGTCCCATAGCAGTGTTCCCATTCCCCAGCTTGACGGCCCTTCCGATCAGCCCCGTCAAGCAATGGGCAGCAGAACAACTATCCAGCCCTTGGGTCCTGGACATCATCACTCGACTCGCCTTCAAACAACACACCAGAATAGCACGCAGATCGTGACTAGACAACCGTTTCGACCCACTCTGAACGCAGTTGGCATTCTATTACCCTACTGCACTATGATGCCGCCCCTGAGCGAAGCACAAGTGATAGCACTCAGCGACGTTGCAGGTAGTCTGAGGGAGCTTGTCCTCCTAGCTCTGGGTGCTGTTGCTGGAGACTCGGGTTGTGTGAGGAAACTTGAAGCTGCCGTTGGTGAGGAAACTGCAGTGAGCATTGCAGAATTCTTCATGGATGAGTGGGAGATGGATGGCTAAAAGGCATTCTACCACGCCCACTGCACAACAGACACAAGATATGTACAAGGAGCACACTTGACCTATATCTTCCTAAATTAAACGCACAAAAAATTGTTTACTCCGCCTGCCGAAAATTCACATTCACAGCACTTCCATGATCCCTCTCCATCCCAGCCCAGTTCTCCCCACCCCCTTAACCCCATCCCATCACGCGCACCCCAAAAAGCCACAATGTACACGCAGGCATCCCATGTAACTAGTCCCTCGGTCCACGCAACAAAAGTAGAAAAGTCGATCAGCAGAGATCATCGCGGGTGATACACGACACGGTAAACAGCGGGAACAGCGGCGTTTCTGGGGAAAGCCGAGCAAAGTCGTTCGGTTCCGGTGCTCTCTCTCTCGCATGTGAAAATCCGGGGTGTGTGTTCCCTGCTTGCGCCGAGTTGAGGATAGAATGGTGGGTTTGGGGATGGAATCGTGGATGCGTTGTGAGAGTGTGGGGAAGCGTGGGTTTTATCATTGGGGGAGTGGGGAGTGGTTGGTGTGGTTTGAAGGGGGGGGCGCAGTGGTTTATGAGATGATGATTGTTGTGGTTTTACGGTAACCCAGATCATGTCAAAATTCCATAGCTTGATGAAAAGTACACGCACTAATTTTTTTTTTGGCGCAAGAACAGGTTGAAAAAACAGGGCAAAATAAAATAAAAATAAAAATATGAATGGTTTCAGCACGAGCAAATGTAGCATCACCACGCGACACGCTCGTGAGACTTTTTTCGTAGTGTAACATTGTCGTCATACTTGCACACCATCAGGTATCGGCAGCCGCACCTCAAGAATTCAGCAATCCAACCTAGAGATAAAACGACCGAGCCATTATGCCGAGCTCGTGACGTTAATACCAATCTGGGCCAAGGCCGAAGCAACATTCAAATCGAGACGAATAGTATTACCCTTAATCGCATCTTCATAGTAAGTCAGATGCTGGCCATTACTCGCGATACTCGAGTTGCCGACGATTTCAATGGGGAGCACGGCGTTCCTGTAGGTGGACTGGACGAGGCCGAGGATGGTGAGTTGGTCGACGCGGCTCTGCATGGGGAGCACATTGTTGCCCGGACGGAGAACGAGGTTGGGGATGAGGGAGTAGCCGATTGAGCGGCCGTCGACGGCGAGATTCATGGTGACGTTGCCGAGATCGAGGGTCATGACGGAGGGATTGGGAATGGAGACGTTGCCGATGAGGTTGGAGCCGTCGGGGAGGATTTCTTCTCTGCCGGAGAGGATGCGGACATCGGTGATGTTAAGACCCGCGAGTTTGTTGAGGCCTGGATGGAGGAGGGAGGAGCAGTGTCAGTATAGTTTGTGTACAAGTTGGGTGGTTGGGACATGGATACCTTTCATGGTGATGACCTTGTTGTAGTTTACGGACATTGTGGGTAGGCCGGAAAGCTTCAATTTGGTTTTTCCATCCATGTAGACATCGAGGCTTTCGGCAGCGAGCACCGCCTGGGTGTACTGAGAAAAGCGTTCGACGGAGTCAAAGTTGACATCTTGATCGATTGTGATGTAGGTCACTTCCTCCGACTTGGCCTCAGGAACATTAACGTAGAGGAACGGCTCTTGATCCTTGAGCGAGAGTCCAGCGCGGAAAGGCCTAATGGTCGGGTGATAGCTGCTGTCGCTTCGGACGACGGTGTCAATCTTGAGATGCACGCTTTCAGGCAAAGGGCTGGTGACTTCTTGTGCTGTTACTTCCAGAGTAGAGGCGTTGAGCTCGCGTTGAGCTCGTTTCGGAATGGCAACGTAAATAATGGGCAACACAATAATCAGAACAATGATGGCGAAAACGAGCAAGTCTAAACGCGTCAGCAGGTATATGGTTGTTCACGATTCGGACGACTGACCACACCACCAGAACTTCCTGCAATGGTTCTTCATGCGACCCTTTGCGCCTGGCCGTGGTCCTGGAGGATACAAAGTGTTCATTAAGCCACCCTTTCTTACAGCGGCACTGTGCTCCATCTGTTGTTGCGAAGGCTCAACTTTGCTGTCCATGTTGGGGTTTGGAGCGGTCGCGTCTAGTAGGCGAACAGAAGAAGCAGAAAACGTCGAAAGCCTGTAAGATAGTCGAACCAGCGCAACCAAATCGTGTATCGCCTACAGGTCTTCTTTCCACAGAGATGCCTCAGAAAGTAGAGGTGGAGATATGTGGGGAAATAGCTTTACGGTGATCAAGGGTCTTAAGACGCTTGGAAAGAAAGGCACATGCACATTGAATACGACAATCATTACCCGTTTCCCAAAGAGCGCTTCGCCGACGAGAGTGGGTATGTCGGAAGTCGAAACAGGCAGGATCAGTGACAGGCTCAACGTTGTCAACGAAGCGAACCGTCGTTTAGGAGAATAAGGGAGAGTAGCCATTTGTGGTCACACGCCGAGATGACTGCCACCTCTCCGGACACATTGCGGAGTCGAAGCGTATTAGCGACCATGATACCGAGGAATCGTCTGGCACATGCTTGACAGGGTCTTGTTCTGTGCCAGAGATCGTGTACACAGGTATCGTAGATACTACTATGGCTATTCAGCCAACGTGAGTGGCTGGCGCGCCGGCGGCCATGTTCGCCCAACATGTTTAGCTCTTTGTTCCGGCGATGATGGCGACAATGAATGATGCAGGAGTTGACAAACTTGATAGGATGGTTTGGGACATGAGAGCTGGCCATTGTTGATGAGAGACATGGGTGGGCCGAATGGCACGGGGACTTGTTACGACGTTACCCCCGGCATTCTGGCCTCTTTCCAGCTAGCCGTCGAGCAGGCCTGCTCCCGCCACCAATCTGATTGCTTAACTCTCGGCTGGCTATCCCGTTTATGTGTGGACGCCTTGAATCGTTTCAACGTGAACAAGCAACTGTTCCTAGAGGAGCAGGTGAGCGAGGAATCTCAATAGCCCCTATTGGGATCATTTCTTTTCACACGACTTTTTGGACTGGCAGTGGTCAACTCTCGGTCCTGGAAGGCAGCAGCTTAAAGGGGTGCAACCCCACGTACACGCATTCAGCTGCTTATGTACCGTATGTAGCAGACTTCTCTAAGAGACACTGCCCTCTCCACCATTGTATACCGTATTGGATCATAGCAAGGGGTACACAATAAGCAACCATGTCCGTTTCTGAGGCTCATCCGTTGACCACATAGGCAGCGTGGGACAATGAGGTGAAGTGGATTCCGCGGGCCGCAAAATGATCTACGTGGGTCAAGTACTATATGTTGAGCTGGTTGCAATGATGCTGCTAGCGAAAGCTTAAGACAGAGAGGTCGTTGAAAGAAGAGTCTTGGTGGGCAGTTCAGATCGCTAGCCCCGACCGCGCCAAGCAACGCCATGTGGGCCGTCGCATACCGGTACAGACGCGAGTAGGTCGTGATTTTGAGAGTTGCGACGATTGATTGTCTACTTCGACTGCGACCGGCGATATACAGTCTACATACTCCAAAACCATGGCGCAATCAGACGACGAGGATGACTACATGAACATGGTTTTCGAGGATGCGCCCAAAGGCCCAAAATTCGAAACGTCACTCCAGCGCGCAGCTCGCAAACGCAAAGAGGTGCGTCTCTTCACCAATATTCACATACGCCCTGACCTAATCTGGATCCTAGGGTGAAGCAAAAGCGCGACAGAAGACCAAGGCCGAGCGCAGGGAGGAAGCAGAGGCAGCTCGCGAGGCAGCGCTTGCCACAGCTCTACCCGAGACCAACAAAGGATTCAAGATGATGGCTAAATTTGGCTTCAAGCAGGGCGACTCACTGGGCAAGTCTGAAGATGCGCGTAAAGACCCTATACAGGTCAACATAAAGGAAGACCGAGGAGGTATAGGCCTGGAGTCTGAGAAGAAGCGCAAGTTCAGAGAACAGTTTGCAGAGGCTGAAAGGCTCGCCAAGCGCTCCAAAGAAGAGGAAGGCGACTACCTGGAGATGCGGCGTCAAGAACAGAAGGAGAAGAAGCTAGAGAGAGACCTGGACAACGCTCAAAGAACGGCCGAGCGACTGCATGATAAGGCAGCAGAGGAGAAGGGAACCCCAGAGCCGGTCGAAAAGCCGCTCAAGGATATCAACGTCCTCTGGCGTGCCCGCGCTCGACGACGAGTCGAGAAAGAGCATGAAAAGCAACAGCGCCGTGAACTGGAGAACAGCCTTTCGTCCCGATTGCCGACACTGGCTCCTGAAGACGACGATAACGATTCCAAGGTGGCACAGGGTAGAGACTTGGCCCCATTCTACACCACCCTTGAGCACAATCTCGAGGATGAGGATCCGGAGCTTGCAGAGTTCGAGGCCTTGCCGGTCTCGGAGCGCTTGCATAAAGTCCTCGTGCATCTTCGCGAGAACTACAGATACTGTCTGTATTGCGGATATGAATACCCTGATGCTGAAATGGAAGACTGTCGAGACGGGCAAGACACAAACCAGCAGCC